GGGGGGGGGGGGGGGGAGAAGCTGTTGGAAGCAGATGAACTGTTATCAGATTCTCAAGAATGCTCAAGGTCGTACCAACAGGCGATGTGGTAAAGGACTGGGAAAGCTGGCAAGGGGGGTGCAACAGAAGTGGGTAAAAGTAACTTTTTGGCACACGCGGGCTTAGTCTTAGCAATGCTTTGGACCTGTACACTACTTCTCAATAAATGAACTTTTTTTTGAACCTATATCGGTTTCACGGAGAGTTTCCTGCATTGGGAGTCGAGAATGGCAGATCGTTACGCTATAGAATAAAACTGTTTTACTGCCTGAACATTAAAGGAGAAAAAAATGTGGTGATGATTCAGTGATTCTCCAAACTGAACTCAGCTTTTCAAAGAGCATTAATGCATAATAAAAGATATGGCACAATATCTTTTGAAGTAGCACTATACTTTGGGGGAGAGCTGTCCCCCATTAAAAAATCCCCAAAGGGATAAATAAATCTTCCTCTTGTCCTTTTGCAAGAAGGATCATTGGATAAATCAGCTCAGAGTGGGTCCTTGGGTGCAGAGTTGCCATCCTTTAATCAGTGCTTCTCAAACCTGGCAAATTTAAGATTGGCCAGCTGGAGAATTCTGGGAGTTGAAGTCCACACATGCTTTAAATGGTCATATGTTTTGAGTTGGGCGGAGGGAAATGAAACTGCCCAACACCTGTCCTGCATTCAACACTACCCAGGATAGAGTTTATATTTATATATAAAAAGCTACAGGAGCATTGTAAATAAAGAAACAGTCTTAACAGAGGTAGCCTATACAGAACTGACAGAAAAGCTCCTGTATTCTAATAAGGTCTTTTCCAAGTGTTGAAAAATAACACAGTCATGAGTACAGCACATTCCCACCTGCACAAAGTTGAGGACGGTTCTTTTAAAGGAATGAACCAATTCTTCATTTGAAAGTTAGATCAGGGAACGTATGCACAGAAGCATAGGGGCATGAAGATTTAACTTGCCAGCAGATGGCAGTCAGAGAAGGGACTTAATGCGCAAGGGGTACAACGGTGACTTATTTAAACGGGAAGGGATTGTTGTGGATTTTGCAGAAGATCCAGAATGCTATCTGGTCCTCTAGTTTAGAAAGAGACTAGGAAATCAACAGTGACCTAAAATAAATTACAGTGGACAGGTAGGGATTGGTTGAGGGATAGTAGACATTCTTTCCTAATTTTTATTTTTTATTCCTTCTTTAAAAGAACCCTCAAGAGGCTAATGCAGGTTGGTGTAAGCTGACTTGTCCTGAAGGAGCACAACAGCTTTTTCAGATAGATCATCCTGGGCCCTACAAAAGGTACTTGTGGGGAATTTTAGCAGACTTGGTCCAGCTCAACTTCTCTAAAACAGAGGCAGGGGAAGTTGTTTTACAAATTACTTTAGCAACAAAGCCCTTTTTTAATATGGCAGATGTTAACATAATTGTTGATTCATTTTCTTTGCTTTTTCTGATATGCATTTTAACAAACAAGTTCAGAGCCCAAGCAGCCGTGCCAAAAACGCAGCTGGAGTAGTTTTTCGAGAATTGCTTTTTCCCCACACTTCTGGGTGATATGACGCAACTCTTGAGTTTTGTGCAATCCTTATATTAAGCAGATAATCATAGATAAAGTGGTGATTGTACCATATGTACTTTGTACTGCTGCCAAAGTGGCTTCTAGGATCAAATATTCAAGTCCTTCCTGTTCCTTATGTAATCGGCAAGACTGTCATCATCACTTCCATGTATCCCTTATACACTTCGTTAGTTACTGATCCTCCTGCATTTTTTGTTCTGCTCTTTAGTGTGCTTTTTACTAACTTGCTTGGTATTCAGAAGAGGGACCACGCCTGCCATGAGTCCTTAAAAGCTGTTTCCCATATACCCCAAACATAACAAAACCTCTTTCTCTAATGCAGATATATCACAACAGTGGTGGAATGGTGCAAAAGCCTGAACAAAGACGGAGAGATGTGTACCAATAGTCAAGAATCCATTCAAGAACAAAGCTGGTATTCCTCTTAACTAAAAAAACAAAATATTCCCAAATCCCCAGTGATGCTTTGTAAGAGCCAGGTCTTCTATTGGATTCATTATCTTGGCCTTGATATTCCAAGGGTCTTTTTCCTATTTAATTAAAAGCATACAGGTAGTCCTTGACTTACAACCATTCGCTCAGCGACCATTCAGAGTTACAACGGTGCTGAAAAAGGAGACTTACGACCAGTCCTCGAAGTTGCGACCATCACAGCACCTCCGCGGTCACATGATCACGATCTGGGTGCTTGGCAACCTATTCGCATTTATGACTGGTTGCCAAGTGCCCCACAATCACATGATCGCTATTTGCAACCTTCCATGCCGGCTTTCCCAGAAAGTCAAAGGGGAAGCCAGCAGCGAAGATTGCAAGTCATTGGGGGGATTCTCCCTCACCTGTGCACCCTCCCCCAGTTCCTCTGCGCTTACACCATGCCGGCCACTCACACTCCCCCCACACCGTCCCCGAACCATGCCACACCCCACGCTCACCCTCCCCAACCAGCGCAGTGTCTCTCGCACACCCCCACATAGCCTCCCTGACCTGTGCAGCGCCTCTCGCGCATCCTCCTTGACCCACATGGCACTTCTCACGCACCCTCCCCAACACACGCATTGCCTCTCACACACCCTCAACACGCGCGGCACACCCCCACGCACCCTCCCCACCCTGGACACCGCCTCTCGCATCCTCATGCACCCTCTTCAACCCACGCAGCACCTCTCATGCACCCTAGCAATTGTGTTGCACAAAGATTTATAACTTTTTTAGAGGGCCATTCTGTTGTACCAGATTTTGCTGATGTTACATCAACCAAGAACAAAAATGTTTATTTTAATTAGGTTTTTCTTCTTCCACATAGGTCAGTTGCTGCTGAGCTTGAAAAAATAAGAAGATTCAATTGTATCCTTTTCCTACACATTTTTAGTTTCTACACTTCTTAAAATAGATAGTCCTTAGTTTGAGACATCCAATAATTAACCTTTTGGGAACTTTAGTTCAGTTTGTCAGCCAAAGCAGCAGTAAAATAGCTGGGAACAATAACATTCATGCATTACAGCCTTTCTTGTGACAATGTTTGTTATGCAATAGTTATCACTAACTATGGATTTGCATTCTCATTTAATGAAATACCTGAGAGAAAATTCTAAATGTGCCTGTCTAGTACTGGGACGTACTCAAAGTTTTTATAGAATTTTCTGTATATGTATAATGGCATTGCAGAATCCAGTACAGTGAAAAGCAGCTCCACCAGTTCCTTGTAATTCAAGTAAGAGAAGAGGGAGGTTGCTGTTTTTAGTATGTTTCTCCTTACCTACGTACTATAGTTTTAGTCGAGAACAGCAATATTCCAGGTATGATTTCAACTGTGGGAAAAAATCCATCATCCAACCTAGATACAGAAAGTGTATCAAAAGAAGTCTTTCTGGCTGAGGATGTCAGTGTAAAGAACATAACTGAGACTCTGGAAAAAACTTCAAAAGTTATCAATGATATTGACTCTCTTCTGGCTTCTTCCACAAAGCGTGCTGGGGTCAAAAATATTTCAAATAATGCTGTCCCTCTTTAACCTCACTGGAAAAGCAAAGGTTAGTACTGAGTCACTGACTTCACAGGTGATTATGTAAGATTTATATAAATTATGACAAATCATAGTTTATTTTAAAAAGGCTAAAGATTAGAAGATTACAAAGAAATGTGAAACATGGCTTCACTGAGATACCTATATTAAAATAAAATTTACCACACGCATAAATATCTTGCACTATTGAATTCTTTTTTTATAGTTTTCCCAGTGTTTTTCAAAGTCCATGAAGAAGTGTAACCAAGACCATACATTTTAATCAAACTGACACAATATTTTATTACGTTTTCTCTTCTGGTTTCTGTTTGACAAGAAAACTACAGTCACATTCTGTTGTGGCTTTTTTTCCCCATGTCTTTGCTGTATCACTGAGTTGTTTCTTCAGAGTATAGGACTTATTATCAGTTATTAGCTAATTTTAATATCCATATTAAAATTAGCTAATAACTAATTTATTAGGTGCATAGGACTTAAAATTAGTTATTAGCTTATTTTAATATGGATATTTATATTTTCATTGATTTTACTGTTTTGGATTTTCATCCAGAGTCGCCAGCATATAAAGT